AAGGGTCATTACATGTTACGGTTTTACAGACAGCTTCAAATTAGCACAAGGTATAGACCAAAAAGATACAATCTCACCTTTGCTATGGTGTATTTACTATGATCCACTAATCAGCAAAGTAGAAAAAGAAAATATAGATACAGCTTTTCAGTTCAAAAACTTACAAACAATTCAAGTAAATAGAGGAAACAAAAATATAGAATCTCATCAATAACATACATGAATGACACAATCTGATTAGCAAGTTGTCAAGAGCACATCGACAAAATTATTAAAACTACAAAACAATTTGCAAAACTGGCTAATCTCAGAGTCAATTTAGAAAAAGCAGCGCTCTTTACAATAAATAGTAAAGACACAGAAGATCTTCAATTCCAAAATCAAACAATTAAACTGGTAGAACCTAAACAAGTCATAAGAATTCTTGAGATTTGGATTACAGCAACAAATAGCAAAAAGTATTAACATGAACTGATTAAACAAAAAATAAAAACCATAACACAAATCTTGAAAAGAGCCATGATTACAGACAAACAGTATAGATATATTCTAAATCAAGTCATAATGCCAGCCATAAAATATATACTACAAGTAAGGATGGGTCCCTAAACTATTTAGCATATAAAATTTTGCAGATCAATTATGTCCCTTTTGAAGGGACATAATTATTTATTCATTACTTTAATAGGAACATAATTCAAAAAATACTTGGATCAAGTGGCCTAAATTGCAAAAAACCTTTGTAGATAGTTTTTTTTTGACCTTATATTTAAAAAAAAACTTTTTTAATAGTGAGGAACATTTGAATTATGTTCTCGCCTTTAATTTAGAGACCTATCTTTAACTACAAGACATATGCCTTTTGAATCAAGAGATCAATATCTTAAACAGTCAAATTAGACAAGCCTTCAAACACAAAATCAGAGTCTCAAGCACTGCCTCAAATAGCAACATATACTGTACAAAATTCAAAGAACAAAACACAAACCAGAATCAGTATCATAATTAGTGAAAAACAAATAGAAATAGAAAACAAAATCACAAAATACCTACAAACCAGCAGCTTAAACAAAGAAGAACTAGTCAAAATAACTGAACAAACGGAAAGCTGAAAAAGAATAAAAGTATATATAGACAGCTCAATAATCCAGGAAGCAACCAACTGAATCAAGATTAGAAGTGAAATGGCATATAACCAATCAAGAAACAGGAGAGAAAGCTACATACTCAGATTGTACAGAACACTTTCCATCATTGATGAGAGCAGAACTGATGGCAATTTTAATTATGCTGATTATAATCCCAGTATAAGCAAAAGTTGAGATATATATAGACAGCCAGGCAGCCATTCAAGAGATTCAAAAAGAAGACAAAGGAAGCTGCCAAATCTATAAAAGTACAAACTGGATAACAAAAACTCTGATCAAAAAAATCATCAAAAAAAAACAAAAACAAACAACATTTATTAAAGTCAAAGCATATCAGGGAGAAAAAAACAACAAAGAAGTAGATGAATTGGCAAAAAAAAAAGTAAACAAAGGAAATGAAACAATTATAACAGTCAACCCAAGAGCAGCAGCATGGAAAACACTAAATTGGCAAGGATACCAGCTAGATACAAACATCAAAGAATTTCTGAAGAACATATAAAACATTAAATGGATAGCAAACTAAATAATACAGAGAAAAAACAGAGTATGGATTGAGTACAGAAATGAACTACAAATAGACTGGCACTTTACTTGGGAAGTGCAATACCAATCCAGAATAACTAAAATATATACAAGCCAAGAAGATCACACATATAGAAGAATCAGGTACAGATTACTAAATAGTGAACTTCCTATACTGAATAGGTTAGCAGAAAGAAGACTGGATATTTACAAATCAAACAAATGCCCAGAATGCAAGAAAAGAGAAAGCCTAAAGTACTTGATACACAAACATTGGCAATATAAAATAACAAATGAATATAAAAAGATAATAAAGAAAGAAATGGAAGTGTGTCAAAGAAACCGAAACAAAGGAAAAAAAAAAGAGAACTCAAAACCAAAAATGCTATTAATTATGAACTCAGAGAGCACAAGAAACTACATAGTGAAGAGAATTCTAACCAAAGAGATAACCCAATATATATATCAGTTTGCAAAAGAAAAAACAAAAGAAGTACAGTATGTATTAAAAAAAATTGACCTTTTTAATTACAATTTTTATTTTAAAATTATTTAATAAATAATTAATACAATTGCACAATAATTATAGTAATGATATTACATAACCTTCTGCATATGCTGACATATTTAAAGAGCCTTGCTCTATAACAAAATTTTTTTTAAAAAAATGTCCAACATCAAATTAACTTTTCAATGCCAAACAATTCTTCATTTCTGGAATTAGGGAATACGTTTGCTCAAGAAACTCCAAAAGCTTACCAATATTTTTTATTCTACAATTAAGTACAATATCCGAAAAATAAAAAAAACTGGGAATATTATATATCTGAGGGGCAATGGTCATCCAAAAAAGATTGGATTGGCAAAGGCACATGTTTTCAGACGTTATATCAACAAGGATAGCTCCTTACCTTTGCAAATTTTGGCCATAAAACTTTTCAGGGACGGAAAGTTCATATTACACTCAACTATGGAAAGGAAATTAAAAGAGCTTGGTTATAAAAATGCTCTTCCGGTGGGCACTCCAATGCTTACAGACCTTTATAAGGAAAAGCAGATTGAATGTGCAATAAAACATCTCAACGATAGTTGAAAATGAACCCTGTTTTCTGACGAGACAGCTTTTTTTTTGTTTAGGAACACGATAAAATGATGGTACAAGGACCATAAACCAATCAAACCACTTTCTAAAAACAGATAAAAGATTTTTTCTTGGAAGGATTTTATATCAAAGGCAAGATATCTTTATTTTGCTTTACTAACATCATGAACATTAAATTTTATGTCGAAATCTTGTGTCAACACCATCCAGAAATCAGAAGAATGCTTGATAGGTGATGAAGGTTTCAACAGGACAATGACTCAAAACATATGGGCCAAATTGTTCAAGAGTTTGTTAACAAGACTTTCCCCAAGATCATTGATTGGCCAGCCAATAATCCAGACCTTAACCCCATAAAAAACCTATGGGGTATCATTAAAAATAATGTGGAAAAGTGGTTACCATCAAATCTTGATGAGTTAGAATGTTTTATGATTGAAGAATGGCAAAAAATTTCAAATGATACTTTAGCTAATCTTGTTAAATCAATGAAATACTGTTGTTAGCTAATTATCGATAATGATGGCAATCGAATTCCTTATTAATGTATTTTTTTTTTTATAAATAAAAATTTATATGTTTTTATTTTTAAATAAAATATTGTACATAAAATTTAATAAAAATTATTAAAAAAAAAAAAGGTCAATTTTTTTTGATATATACTGTATATAGAAGAATTGTAGAGAGAATAATAAAAGTAATTAATGAACTATGAAAAAAAAGATATGAAGAAATCACAGAATGGATAAAGATGAACAACATAAACAGAATGAATAAAAGAAAGTAAAAACATAGAACATATCAAACAGAAATCGAAAGAAACAGAGAAAAAGAAGAAATAATAGCAAATAGAAAAAAGAACCTGGGAAGAAAATTGCTAGAAAGATGGATTAAAAACATAGATAAAATGACAAGAAACAATTTTTTTTATTTATATACTAGTTACATTAATAATAGTGATGCTTTGATACATTAGTTTTAATTTCTATCCAATAGGAAAAGTTGATAGCAACAGCCAATATCTAGGAAATCTTGATATAGTTTAGGATACACTCATCAATTAATGTTATAGCATAGTTCATATACAGAAATGTGTACGAATATATGTAAATATTGATCTTAATAAAATTTGCTAAGCAAGATTAAGCTAGTTTAAAAAAAAAAAAGATTTAGAAATATTATAATATCTGTATTATTGTTTTCTTACTTAAAAGATTAATAAACAATATTAGCATACAATCTGATTAAAAGTAAAAAAAAATAATGATAGGCAGATTATAATTTGTATTAATTGATATCAATTTATTGTAAAAGAATATATTTTAGTTAATCATAAAACTTGAGAATATCCATATTAACAAATTATTTTCTTGTAAATGAATTTTGCAATAGTTGTTACTTTAATATTCTTAATTGCCTTAGCTTCAGGCCATTTTGTTAGATATTCTGTTTTATAATATTTCCATTGGTTGTTACTGTTAATGGACCAATAATGTCAATCAAATAGTTTGCCAATTGATATTAAATGCATTTTCTTATATAATAAAGGTGCTACTTGTATTCATACTTTATTAAAAATGAATAAAGACACCTAATTTTTTAATTTGTTAAAACATGTATTTTATAACTACATATTATGACAAGAATTAATCCGCTTTATTTAAAGTTATTCAGTCATTCATTCTCTAGACGCCTGACCAAATAACACTAAATCCAGTAATAAGCGTTCTCAATTTACGCCAATAAGCTTTAATAAATACTAGAATCATATTTAATATTAATTTACTTCTCAATAAGATAATATATTCATTCATGGTTTTGTTTTGTTTGAAATTGTTCGTTCGTATAAATAAAATTTTTTCATTGTAAGATTAATATATATAGCCGTTTGTGGTGAAGATTATGTTCTGTTCTTTGAAATTTTCAAAATTTCAAGTCTTAATTATTTTTTCATTGTATTTTAATCGTACCCAAAATCTAAACTCTATTGACTAATTAATGAAAGTGTAATTTGCGAAAAACTTTTGACATATATTATACAAGGAATGAGAAATTAAGAATTTTGATACCTGAGAATAAATAAACAATAGAGTCGAGATTATTTTTTTACGATTGCAATAAAAAAGAAAAAAAAAACCTTTTTTATCCGGATGATACAACTATAATATTTGTAAATGTTACAACCATTACCCAAGAATGTAGGCATAAAATTATCAGCATAATAATCACCCATCATCTGTTGCCTTTTTTACTACCCGAAAAACTTCCAATTCTTCTATGGTTTCCTCCAGATCTTCAAATCCATTGGCGTGAGCTAACAATTTTTCGCCATGACGAAAGTCAATAAATGCTTCAACACCATCTCCTAGAAACATATCAGCATCAAGATGATTGTTCACTCGGAGCATCCAAGGCAGAAGTAGCTTTCGTTGTTGCCATAAGTACCCAAATATAAATCCGTCACCACCGATGTGAGTGTTTCGGTTTTCAGTCGACCAACTTATTGATTTGTACCCTCCAAACACCGCTTCATCTTCGTTTTGATTTTTCGTTCTAATTATTGTCATCGTTGGGCCTTGGTTATAGCACAAATCCCTCCATTTAGCTTCCGCCAATTCGCTGCCATGACAACGAAAAATCAAATGAAAATCATAAGGTATTTTGTCAAAAGATGTAAATGGTGGATGTTCTGGAAGATCACATTCAGTCTCTGGGTGACTTATCCAATAAGAAATCAACGCTGGCTCCTCCTTTTCCTTGATTATTGTTGAGTTGAATCGCAGGGGTAGTATATCATAGATGAATTGGAACTGGGCTTTGGAATGGTATTCAATAACTTGATCATATAGCTCTGGTGCAAATACTCTTGTCAATGGTCCGACCTTTTTTTTGAAATCTTCTGGTGGCATATGGAAAAATCTTATCAACGAAATTAGTTGAATTACATTTGACTGCAATGTTGTGATGTTATCGGTCGTCCACGTCGAAAAATCATCAGTCAATGAGATTCCCGGTGTATTGTTTATGCCCCACATGATCACAGCGGCAAAAACATCGACTTCATCCAATCCCAATATATCTCGCTCCAATAAGCCGATAATATAATCGTGTGGCATGAATAAAAATTCTTTGGAGCTGACAAAAACTTTCGGATGCCGTAGTACAACGTCATTACATAAAGATACCAATTCTTTGCAACGAGATATTTGTAAAGCTATGAATAACACCTCACTGTTTTTCTCATTAATCCAAGATTTTTCATCCCTAATCAATTCTGACTCCAGGTAATCCACAAAAGAATCCATCATTAATATGTCTGCTGCCACCAAAAGTTGTAATTTTTCACTTACTCCGAGTTTTTCCACTTTCAAATAAGCCCCATATATATAACTTTGAAAAGATAAGTAGATTATGTTAATACTCGAAGAAGGAAAACTGTAAAATCGCATTCTCCAACAAAAGATTAAATTACTATCGGAATTAATCATAAATAATACCGAAATCCAACCCCAAAGAAAAATTAATGAATCAATCTATACGTACAAAAGTACATGCTCAAATATCGTGTGCGGTATACCCATGCCTCGTAGATCAATAACAAAATATCCATCAACTTTTTTCTTACCCCATGCAGCTGACAAGGCAGCACGAAAATATTCCGAACGTGTTCTTAGAATAATCGAATGGGCTTTAAATGATTCGCTAGTAGCTTCATCGCCCACGTGAATTATAACATCAAAGGTTTCTTCCTGATCAAGGATTTTGAGAAAATCACTAGATAGTTGTTTAAATGATTTGACTGTGTCGTAAATCTCTGGCATGGTTTCCTTGAATCTTTTTTTAGTTGGATGATGAAAAAACGAAAGAAGGGTGGTTATAGTAGGAAGGAAGAGAAGGAAGAAACAAGTGACGAGAGGTAAAATGTAAAAAAAAAACTAACGAACACATCTCATTTATATTCTCATTTTGTTCACCTGCAGGTAATACGTAACCTTATTATTGTAAGTTGGTTACAATCACACGCGCAGTAAATTACGTAACGCAATAATTTAGTTGTTCATCCCGGAGACGCATGCATATTGTAATAAATTGTCATAAATTGACAACTAGAACGTGCGTAGATCCAACTGCACTTTCGAGTTACACATTTCTACGCACTGACCAAAAATAGTGACATCTTTCCGATACTCGGTGAAAACTATATCATGAAAAACCTAGAGAATCATTACTTTTTTCTTTTTCGTTCCTTGTCAGAAGTAATGTCGAGCACCAATGAGAAGTTACACGATCACAAAACGTCTAGATATCTCGGTGAGATTTGACTTATCTAAGGTATGCATGTATAACATTTATATTTCACAACACGTGACCAAAGTTTAATTGAGGAACGTAATACCGAAATAATAAAAATAGATTGTGTACTAGTAAATAATAATTTTAAAACTTTAATAATGCTTGATTATTAGTCGTAAATTTTATATTCTCTTTGTATGTAAATATTATATAGCATATATCATTCGATATATTTTTTTTTGTTTCTAATCAGACTGCAATTCTGTTTATTTATTAATCATATAAAAATACAATAATACATAATACCTTAAGGCATTATATTATACTGTATATATATATATTTTATTTCAAATCAGGCTGCATTCCTATATTTACAGTATTAATCTTGGATAGAAGACACTTACATTTGTATAAAAAATACTATGATAAGGCTAAACTTGTTGATGCTACACAGTGCACCTATTATAAGCCTAAGATCTTTAAGTGTGATTATAGGAAATAAAAAAGTTGCTTAATTCTATTTTGAATTTTTTTTGCCAGTTAAGAACATTATTGTCAACCCTTATTTAGAACTATCACTTCTACATAACTACTGTGATTATACATGTTGCTGAAATTCGTAGATCCTTGATGCAATTGATGCAATTATTTGACGCAATTAATTGAATCACTATTAAAACATATCCCTTAAATCGTAGGGCATTTTTTTTATAATGTTTAAAATTTTTTAATTAAAAAGTTACTTTTCATTTATTTTTTTAAATAATCAAAATATTTTTCTAAAAATTTATATAATATTAGTTTTAATT